ATGTTTCCTATCGTGGGATAAATTGAAATAAGATGTAGAAAATACAATACGCACTTTGATCAATTAAAACGTCAGCAGACCATTATGAAACAGGTGCTTGAAGGAAGGATATGGGGTAGGAGGGCCAGGGGAAGACAAAGAGTGACATGGATGTACAACATTAAAACATGAACAGGCCTGAGTATAGCAGAATGGGCAACGGTAGCTCGGGACTGTGAAGGGGGAGGGCGATTACACGTGAACCTCTGAGTCAGAGATGACACCTCCAGGTATCCCAGGTAGCGTGGGACTTCAACTCCTGGACTTTACTCAGTTTTTCCACGCTTCCATACATCATTCTATGTTCCTACGTGACTTTTCTCCAGGTTCCTCGTGGCCTTCCCCTTGATCTCTTTCCCCTGTCCTGCTGGTGTGCAGCTAATCAATTTATAATGACTCTCTCCAAACCAATGTGGGAAACCCCAGCAGTAAGCACAAAGAAAAGCAAAAAAGTAAGAATTCACAACAGGCATTATTGATTTCTACCTGGTAGCGTTGTGAAAGAAGCAGGTCTGATCAGCACCATCTTTATTATGATTTTTACTAGTCCTATGGAACCTGTTCCTTATCCTTTCAGCTAACACGCAAGGAGCTAGCAAAGAGGTCGCATGAGAATTCAGATTGGAACACAAACCCTGCGCACGCAAGCAAACACATAATTACATCCTTTGCAAACACTTCGTCAGTTCTAGGCCATGCAAGTAGCTTTTTCAGGATAGAAAAAAACAATGGATTCAGTTTTTATTAAATTGATTCTACCTATTTTATGTAATTTTTCTTGCTTTTCATAACATGAAGAATTGGCATTTCTACAAAAACATTTCCCTGAGCACAAGTAAACAGTACATGTGATTAATACATTTTCAATTTAAAACATAATTTTGGGCGCTACTCATTGGCAACCGGTTGTGATCACTTTGATCTGTATTGCAAGCCTGTGTATGTGTGTGTGTGCATATTATTTATGTGTGTGTGTGTGTGTGTGTGTGTGTGTGTGTGTGTGTGTGTGTGTGCGTGTGTGTTTGCGCGTGTGTGTACACGTGTGTGAAACACCAAAACCAATCAACAATGTTCCAGGATCTGGACAACAAAGATGTATCTTATCTTATTTTAGCTTATATAATTTAAAAACTATTTTAAACAATGGCTAAAGTACTTCTAAACATCTGACTGACGATGTCTCCATACAGCAAGCAATCACACAACGTCAAAATGGGGGGGGGGGGGGGGAAGTCATTAAAATGGCACGGTAGTTGTGTCCAAACCTGTACGCGTTTGCAAGTAAGTCAAGTTCGTAACAAATACATGAAAATAGGTCAACGTCATCATTCTGCTTGTTCCTCCCTCACACCTCCCCCCTTACACACACACACACACACACACACACACATACACACACACACACACACAACACACACAACGCCCTTTTCAGAAAAAAAGTAAAAATATTGATAGTTTAAATTATTTTTGATTAAAAAATTCATTTCTGTGTAACACGAGAGTATTTCTATGAACCAATAAATAGGGCTTCCAGATAAATACGCATTCTTACGCATATCTTAAAAAATATGTCAATTTAAAATGCCTTCAAAAGACACAATCTTTATCCGATTTATATTCATGTAATGACTTAAGTAAGCAGAAAGTTCCCCCTCTCTCGAGTAATCACAAAACCAGAAGAGGTGCTCCCCATGGGGTGAGTAAGTTTATTTTTTAAAAAAACCTCTTTATTGTGGGGGCGGCGGGGGCTGAGTATGGCTGAAAATGTGTTGGGGTCGGGTGTGTGTGTGTGTGTGTGTGTGTGTGTGTGTGTGTGTGTGTGTGTGTGTGTGTGTGTGTGTGTGCAGGGGGGGGGGGCAAAAGGGCCAAAGGTTCACAAAGAACAAAATGGCCCGACAACATTAAGACATGAACGTGGGTGGTTGGCGGGTGTTCTGGTGTGGTTTCCTTCTTCTTTCTTATCAAACGTCTATCGTCTTTATCTCCTCTCCTTCTTTTTTTATGTTTGTTACTCCCTTGTAACATCTCTAATCTTCGGCACTTATATTATGGCTTTATTGTTTTGGAAGTGCCATAAAACCCTTACTAAAACTAAAAACTAAGACATGCACTGACCGACGTATGAGAGAGTGTTTAACGGCAGCTCAAGACCGTAAACACTGTCGGGTCATTGCACGTTAAAACTGAGCCAAAGATGACACACCCAGCTAAATATGAAGTAACAATATTAACATGCATTACTTTTCTCCTGTTTATCATATAGTATTATAGTGTGAGTTCTCATTACCACTTTATAAATATTCATTATATTAGATCTACGCTGTAAACTCTGAACGCCTTATGCAGTTGTGAGTGCCGTAAAACCTCTACTAAAACTAAACTAAATTCTGAATGTCCAATTTGGCAGCGCTTGTGGTGTAATGGAAAGGCTCTTTACTGATGCTCACGAAAACCCTGTGCTTGATTCAGTTTGAGGAAGTCTTTCTTATATCGATTAGCTCCATTTTTTATTTATTTATTTTTTTGGAGGGGGGAGGGGGGATAACATTACCGTATTCCCCTCAGCCTGAGCTGCCCCTGACAAGCAGATTCGAAGCGTCTGTCTCGAATTTATGACATTCGGTTAAAACTTAAAGGAAGCGCAAACTTTTGAAAATCGTTTTTCTTAATTTCAACGTCTGTTGCAAATGAGCTTAAATTCATGCCGTTTGGGTTAAAGGAAGCGCAAACCTTTGATAATCAATTTTCTAAGTTACAATGTCTGTTGCAGATGAGTTTAAGGGAAGGGTCTTCAAAATCCGAAAATATTGGTCCCCTGGTAGGAACCGAAACTCAAGTGTAAATAAATATATCATCATCATCATCATCATCCAGTGCCAGATCTGCGACAGACATCGGTGATCATGGTGCTCCATTCATTCCTTTGCTCAGATGCTCTAAAAAAAAAAGCTATGTTTCCCTGATCTTTCCCTGTTACCCATTTGTTTAAGTTCACCAAGTAGATTGTTCTGGGCCTACCCCTGCCTCGTTTGCCTTCAATTTTGCCAGTGAGAGCTAGATGTTCAAGACCCTTATGTCTATTCAGGAGTTCAAAACTAAATAAATACAACGAATCTAAATTTCAAACTTCCGCACAACATTTCTTGTACAAAACCATAGAGACCATCTCCAGAGCGGCCTCATAAGACAGCGATCCTATTGCTATAAACGAGTTGTTCGGATGTAATCTCGAAGGAAGATATTTCTCCATCCTTTCACCCCAACTTCCTTGAACTCGCATAAATATGCATGTATCTCCCATCGTATGACATACAGGCAGACATTTATTTTCAAGATATCGATGAAGGATTCGGTGTGACAGAATTAGAGATCGTAATTTTTCTGATGAATGCTGCTTCTGACCTTGATCTGTAGCTTTTACATCTCTTCTTGTTTCGTTTACGTCTTCTTTTTCTTCGGGCTTCATTTGTTTAAATTTCTAAAGGCCCTTACAAACGCACATTGGATCATTTCAAAGGCTAAACTTGAGTGCATAATGCAAGGGTATTGGGAAGAGAGGATACAGACACTAAGTTTAGGTTAGTTTTAGTGTGAGTTTTACGGCACTAGCAACACAATAAGCTTATATCAGTGCCGAAGATAAGAGTTATTACAAGAGAGTGACAAAAATAAAAAAGACGTGATAAGGACGACAGTTGTTTGATAGAAATGACGAGTAAGCCACTCCGGAGCACCCGCAAACAACCTACAAAACAACCCCAGTAGTCTGAGATAGAAATTACATAATAGTGTCATGATATTGGGGCATACATTTTTTATCTTATTCTACTATTAGACACGTATCATAGTTTCCGCTGATTTTCTGTGTCATTTTGTACCCCCCCCCCCCCCCCCACCAAATCCATGGACTCAGGTGATGGTGAGTTGTGGGCAGGATCGTGAGCAAAGATTTATTAGAATAATGTCTTGTAACAGCAGGGCGTGTAACACTTCTGCTTGTTGGGGAACCCCCCTCCCTCCCCCTCCACCCACCCACCTCTCCCCCCACCCCACCCCCATCCCCTATATTTATACAAGGTAGACTTGGTCTAAGGACAGATGGCAAAATGTGCTGTAATGCTAACCTCTTTACCCTCTTCAAAATCTTACATAAAGTGATATTTCTTAATACCTTATCATGTGAGTCAACTCAAAGCATTTAATCTCCTAAAAGTATTAAATACCAATACCATTAATTCGAAGAGTATGCCACAGAAATAAAACGGAGAATTGCAATGGCTACTGCTAGTTTCAATACAATTAGCCTAATACTGAAATAATAGAAACATCTCAATGACTACCAAAATGAAAGTTCTGAAATACTATGTTTGGTCAACCCTTCTATATGGCTGTGAATGCTTGACAATAACAAAAGACTGAAAATAAAATAGAAGAAACAGAAATGTGGTTTCTTATGAGACTGCTAAGAGTATCGTGGAAGGAAAGGAAATCAAATGAGGTAGAGCTTGATGAAACCCACGTGGGACGCTCATTGTTAAAAACAATCAGGAAACTACAAATGCCGTTTTTTGGACACATAAATCGACATAAGGGTCTTGAACATCTAGCTCTCACTGGCGAAATAGAAGGCAAATGAGGCAGGGGTAGGCTCAGAGCACTCTATTTAGGGAACCTAAACAAATGGGTAACAGGGAAAGATCAGGGAAACGTGGCTTTTTTAAGAGCATCCGAGCAAAGGAATGAAGGGAGCACCATGATCGCCGATGTCTGTCGCAGATCTGGCACTGAATGATGAGGATGATGATGATGATGATGATGATGATTGCCGCAGCGGTAATCCCACGTAATGATAATATTAAAGCAGAAAAACACAGGCGACAAAAATAAATTATGTTTAAACAGAAACAATCAGCAACGACGAGTTTGTCTGAAATTAAAAACAAAACGTAACCCCGACTCACCGGAACATAGAGGATAATTCCAAAACAATAGATCCACACAATATTATCACTCACTAAACTGTGCCCAAAGCTAGACATGCAGAGAAAACCAAGTCACTTTGAGTCACCGTAGTCTCCAGTATTGCACATCCTTTACCCCGCCTGCTCCAAATATTAAACCATCACTAGAGAAGATATCTCCCTTGTACAAAGGTCTCCCATTCCGAATTAGTTGCAGTCAATCATTTGTCCTGGAGGATAATCCTGCGATCAGACGAAGGCTGCAAAAGAAATCCTCCGCAGAATCTGTTGGAGGCAGAATTTAAAACGCCAATAAGTTCACTCAAAACATCGGCCTCACCTCACCTTCCGCGCAGGAAGAAGAAATACGCGTGTGGACGGGAGCGAGTGCGAGAGCGCGTGCGCGCGGAGTCTGCTTAGGCGTCCTGTACGACCGGAAGGAAGAGGGAGGCGGGGACACTGGGTTTGTCGTCCTGGGTTTGGGGGGCACGTGCGACTTAGCACTGGTAGTTGTTGCTGGCGGCGGCTGCGGTGGTGGTGGTGTAGTTGTTGGTGTTGTTTCTGGGTGGTGGTGGTGGTGTTGCTTGGTGGTGGTGGTGGTGGTGGTATAGTTGTTGCTGTTATCGCTTGGTGGTGGTGGTAGTGGTGGTGGTGGTGGTGGTGTAGTTGTTGCTGTTATTGCTTGGTGGTGGTGGTGGTGTT